TTTGTCTTCTTGACATTGAGCCTCAGTCCATACTGAAGGCTGCAGTCCTTGACCCTCTGCAGCAAGTGCATGAGGTCTTCCTCGGTTTCAGCAAGGAGGATTGTGTCATCTGCATAATGCAGATTGTTAATAGATCTTCCACCAATCCTGATGTCACAATTCTCCTCATAGAGCCCAGCCTCCCAGATAATTTGTTCTGCATACAGGTTGAAAAGGTGTGGAGACAGGACGCATCCCTGGCGTACACCCTTCCCAATATAAACACAGGTTATACACATGGATTTCACCTGATGGTATGCATAGGAATCAGATCGAATTCATCTGCGGAAAAAACCGCTGGAGAAGCTCAATATCAGCTGTGAAAACTAGGCCAGGAGCTGATTGTGGAAAGGACCACGAACTACTCATATGCAAGTTCAAGCTGAAACTGAGGAAAATTAAATCAAATGCACAGGAGCCAAAATATTACTTTGATTTAATCTCACCTGAATTTCAGAATCATCTCAGGAACAGGTTTGAGGCCTGAACACTAATGAGCGAAGACCAGATGAGTTCTGGGAAGATGTCAAATGTATCATCCAGGAAGAGTGCAAACGATCATTACAAAGACAGAAGAGGAAGACCAAAATGGATGTCAGAAGAAACTCTGAAGATTGCACTGGAGTGTAGAGAAGCCAAAGCACAAGGAAGAATTCAAGATATTAAAGAGCTGAACAGAAGATTCCAAAAGGCAGCACGGGATGACAAAGCAAAATATTACAATGAAATGTGCGAGGAGCTGGAGTCGGAAAATCAAAAGGGCTGAACTCGTTCAGCATTTCTTAAGCTCAGAGAACTGAAGAACAAATTCAAACCTTGAGTCGCTATCATCAAGGATGCTTTAGGCAGAATGTTAAATGATCCAGGAGATATCAAAAGAAGATGGAAGGAATATACTGAGTAATTGTATCAAAAGATATATGTAGACCTCAAATTAATTCATTATTATTATTATTTATTACAGTACTTACAGGCCCTACAGTATTTCAGGCATATTTTATTGCTATATTGATGTGTGAAAAAAAAATGACTCTATTGAAGAAGTACAAGCGTCGTATTTGATTTTTCTTGGAAATACTTCACTGATTTTCCAATTGATATTTCAAAATTTTTGTGGTGATAATAGTGCTAAAAAAATATTACTATTTCTTGTCATTACAGAGTCTTCCACCCTGCTTAAAGATTTCAAGAAGACATCAACATCAGGAGACAATTTTCAACCTTTCTCTTAGAAAATGTCATTACCAAATGATTCCACCCCATATCCTTTTAGCTACAGAGCTGATACAACCTTCTATGACTTGGAAATGAACAGAATGTTTCTCTGTGTGTTCTGGTTCAAGTACAGGCATCAGGGATCCATTAAAGAATGAGAGTCATTAGAATCTAGAATTTTTACAGTGTGAGGTATGATATATTTTCTAAGTTGTCTGTTGTATAATAACTTTCTCCATACTTGTGCCTTAAAAACCAATAAATATCCTTCCCCACAGTTGTTGTTGGTCATATATTTAGAAGCAGCTTGACTGTGGGCTTCTGGTTTGTGGTCTCACATGTGTTGCTGTTAAAAGGCTTAACTGAGGCTGGATCTCTGCTTTTAAGGTGGGTCATTTACATGGCTGATTTGCTGGTGCTGATAGTTCATCTTGGGTTCTCCCCATAAAAGGCTCCTTGGATGCCTTCATCCTGTGGCAACTGGCAAGTGTTCTAGAAGTCCTGATGGCATGGTAGGTTAATCATTGGTGTACTAACTGAAAGGCCACTAACTACTAGCTCAAACCCACTAGCTACTCTGTGGATGAGGTATAAGATTGCTTCGTCTTATAGTGTTTTGCAGTCTCAGAAACCCAGTAGGGGAAATCTACCCTGGGCTATAGGTTGCTATAAGTTGGTATCTGACTGGATAACAATGAGTTTATTTCATGACTTAGCTTTAGAATCACACAGTCTCCTCCACTGGCCACACGGGATAGCCGTGGTTCACTGTGAGACTACTCAAGGGTTTGAATCCCAGGAGGTAAGAATCACTTATGACTAACTTGGGTTTTCTCTGCAGGGACTTTTGCTGTTTTCAAGACAAGTAATTATGAGGAATCAGTTTCTAAGAAACTAGAGGGAAACAAAGCACCAAGTGGCATCAGTTATTATTTGTTGTTGAATCCTAGTATCTATCATAAGACTTAATAGATGATTTCTTGGTCAAATTTATTACATGTTTTATTGTTATAATTACAGCCTCAAAAGTTCAGTAGCTTAATATAAAAGATGTTTCTTGCTGACATGTCAGTCTAATAATATTGTGTGAAGCTGTCACTGCTCCACTGCATTTACTCAGAGATCCAAGTTCCTTCAACTCGTGACTCTCACCTCCTGCGGACTTGGAATCCTCTACTGGTTTCTCCACTCAGCCATCACACAAAGAAAGTGAGAAATCATGAAATGGCAAGAAACAGTGTTTTTAGAGGCAAGCATTAGAGAAGATAAGCATCCTTTTCTTCCTAATCCAGTAAGTCAGTCCTGATGCTCCCTCTGAGAGCTCACTTGGCCTAGTGGACAGAAAGTTATGCTACCAAGCTAAAGGTGGGTGATTTTAATCTGCAGCCTTCAGGCCTGGCTTTAATTGTTTTTGATCAAACATTCTTCTAAGTGATATAGCCCTGGTCTGTCCATTTGCTGTACAGAGGTAACTCATGGTTGCTGTGCTGTTAAACACTGTGACACTGATGTGCCAAATGCGATAATGCTTACCCATGGTGGACAGTGTTTGATAGGGCTTATTGATTAAAACAAGTTTGGAAGTAGGAGTGGCATCCACTTCCGAAATAGCTTGCCTCTGGAAACCCTATGAACTTGGAGAAACGATGAAATTTATACAAGTGTTCTGGTCTTTCATTCAAAGGGTCACTATGAGTCGTCTACGACTCGACAGCACTTAACAATGTCGTTAAGTTCCCCCTAACTGAAGGGAAACTAAGACAGTCCAGCTGCATGCCTGGAGAGAAGTGGAAATGAGATTTGATGAACGTGAAGTACCAGTCACAATGAAAATCTTGAAATTGTGAATTTATACAACCTGGCAAACGTCATATGGGAAAGCCACAACAACTGGACTAAAAAAAATCTTTGAGCATTCACCCCTGCCCCTGAGTTGGTTAGGATATGGCAAGAACAAGATCTACAAATAAATATCAATATCTTTCTAATGGAATCTTGTTCTTCCAGGTTTAGGATGAGAGTAAATTAGTGTTTCTATGAGGCATTAAATAGAGCTTCTGGTCTGTGGTATCGCCAAAACTAAAACTAAATCCATTGCAGTCAAGTTGATTCCCATGCATAGTGAGCCCATAAGCCAGAGTAGAATTGTGCTACAGGGTTTCTAATACTATAGTCTTTATGGGAGCTGACCGTCACATCTTTCTCCTGTAGAATAGCTGTCAGATTCACATTGCCCCCATTCTTCTTCATATATGAAAATAAGATACTTGAATTCTTTGTTCAGCAAACAAACTGATCAGATATGATGATAGGATATAACCCTGACAAACATCTTTCCTGATTTTAAACCATGCAGTATCTTATTTTCTGTGCAAAAAAAAACTGCTTTGTGACCTATGTACAGTTTTCACATGAGTGCAATTACATATTCCTATTATTCTTTGAAATTTTATGTGTCATTAATTATGATCCACACAGTTGAATGCATTCAGACAAATAAACATCTTTCTAACAGTCTCTGTTTATAGCCAAGTTCCATCTGGTATTAGCAATAATAGTCCTCATTTCATGGCCTCTTTCACTTTCCCAACAATCTTATCAACATTTAAATTTATTCATATTCTTAAAATCTTTTGTAACCTAATGGGTGAAAATTAGAATTTATTTTCATTTCCATTTGCTTAATTACTAGTGGGACTTTATATATATTTTTAAGGAATAATAATTACATCATTATTGGTTCACAACTCTTGTTATATTGTTCTTGTCTAAATTATTTTTTAAATTAATATTTTATTAATTTTAATGAATATTTACAGAGATTTTGGATTTCCATTCATTTATTGTTGAACTTTTGTCCCTGCTCCCCCCTCCCCAGTTCGCTCCTCTCTTTGTAAAACAAAAGAAAAATTCCTTCATTGGTATCCAACCCCCCCCCCCCCGCCTCCCGCCCCGAGTGCACTCCACTATGCAACCTTAATTCTGGACTCTTGTGATAACCATTAATACCCTGTCATACATCCCTTTTAAACTGCTCTCTCCCTCATCTGTTTCAATGCAGTATACATAATTTACCCAGTTTTTCTCAGTCGTACCCCAACCCTGATGTCAGTCCCATTCTACAACAGTGGCACCATGCAGGGACTTTATATATTTTTATGTGTGCTTCTTGACTACTTATGGATCTTCATGGAATGTTCAGTTATCATCCTTGTCCATTTTTCTATTTGTCATCTCTTCCTATCAACTTGTAATTTTGTATGTTAGTAATAAAAATTTTGATAATATGTGTTTATCACAATCTTTTGAATTTGTTTACAAGGTTTTTTCCTATGGAGAAAACATTCTTACATAACCAAACATATGATTTTTTTTTTGTGCCTTTGTCATTCTTAGAAAGACTTTTCCCCTCAGATACAATTTAAGCTTTTCTCACATCCTTGGGTGTTAGTAACATTGAATAAGTCAATAACAGAAACAGAGTAGAATCACTATATAACACAATGTTAAGGGCCCATTTGATCTGTACTCATAAATTTATGGTGGTTACAAGCTCTGATGGTGTAGTCTGTAGGGAGTTTCACTGGTAACCCAAAGACCATATCTCTCTGTCAGTTTGGATTCAGCAGCTGCCCCAAGAAATAAAGATGAACAATCTGCTTCTGTGCAATTTATAGTCTTAGACACCCTAACGAGGATCAGCTATGAGTGGGTTTCAACTCAAGAGCAATTAATTGACTTACTGAGATGTTAATTTTTAGTCTCTAACTTTGTCAGTTTAAAGACAAAGGTCACATCTGGGAAAAGTCTAAGTAATCCATTCTATTCTGAAACACACACAGGTATCTATAAGTTGGAACTGACTCTATGGCCACTGATTCCTGGCTAGGGTTTTGAAAGATGGATATAGTCAAAAGACGGAGGGGTAAAGGAATTTCAAGTGGAAGTAGTTGGCTAAAAACTTTTATTCAAACCAAGTCCCTATCATAGTTACCAAGGATGAGAAAGGAGGGAGAGAAGCGTAAAAAATAATTGAATAAGTTGAGTAAAGAGAAAGGCAATATACACTTAACAACTGATTAAACATTATAATTAATCACATTAATCAATTGTAGTGCATGACCTAAAATAAAATGTGTATAGATGAACAAACTGGGGAGGAGGGTAGAGAGAACGGTGCAGCAATGAAGGAATGAAGACCCAAAATCCCTGTAAATGTTCATTAAAACTAATAAAATTTAATAATAATAAAAAAAGAAAAAAACTAACATGATTTGTAAACTTTCACTCGAATTTTAGTAAAACAGAAAAAATTAAGTGTCTATCAACAGATAAATGGATAAGCAAGCTATAATTCATAAAATCTACATTTACACAAAGCTAAGGAAATGTGGGGGGGGAGTGTGGAAATTGTAACTAGATAATGTTTTAAAACACTATCAGTTCAGAACCCGTAACTGACCTTCTAGTGGGTTCTCAGAGGCAGACAATCACACAGGAGGAGATTGCTCATAGTTCTCCTATGGAGCAGCTGGTGTATTCAAATTGCATACCTTTGCATTGGAGGTGCAACTCCTTACCACTAAGCCACCAGTGTTTCCTAGACATATATTAAGTTGAATGAGTGGGAACACAATATACAATGAACGGGTGATCATCACATTATCACTAAAGAAAGAAAAGACCCAGGAAGTGTGCAAGAGATACAGGCTTCAAAGGTAAACATTATCACATGTACAATCTTACAATATCAGTAATAATAAACATTACAAGTTAGAGACACAGGCAAACAAGCAAAATCGGACAGATGAAAGAGACTACACCCATGACTATACATAGAATCTGTTTAACTTTCTTTATCCTGTTTGCTTTAGTGTTTCCATTTTCTCCCTCTGTGCTGCTGTACATAAATTTTTCTTTTTTAATATCAAACTTTTACTTTAGTTCACTAATTCTCTCTTCAGCTTTCTCTGAATGAATCCAATGGATTTGTAATTGTGCTGCAGGTTTTCCCCCCATTGGAAGTTCTATTTTTAGTATATTATGTTGATTTTGTTAAAGGGGGAGTTGTTCATTTGTTTCATGAAGAAATCTTA